AGTTTAAAGATAAAAATGAAGTAATTTTAGAAACTATATCAAGCCACGAGGGATCTATATCGTGTGATAAATAGTCTCGCAATAATCGCTCGGACGGATGGATCGATCGGCTCCTTCCGGCGCACGCGGGAATTGGGTCGGTCATAATTACGCATCGGGAGAAACGGCCATTCTGTTCGTCCCTTTTTAATTCAAGCATGTCGTTGGGTTTCCGCAAGTCCCTCGACGACGCCACCCGCGGTGGACTAATTTGTATTCATGAGCGCGAACGAACCGCGACGGTTCGCTTCGGTACGGAGACGCGTAAAAATCTTCGGCTTCCGCCAGGCGGAAAAAGTACCAGCATGTCGGTGCGGTTGACGCTTATTGCGACCAAATTTCAATCCGTTCCGCATCCTTGTAGAACGTCCAACGCACTGGGATGAAAATATTCCAACTGTGCCGCGCAAAGAGATGCAATTGGTGCAGTGACGGTTTTAACACGGTTTATTTTAACATCTTCATTACATTTTCAAGTGTATTTAACTTTTCAAGATAAAATTTTTTAAGATTTTTAGATTTTTTAATATTTAAATTTATTACTTTTTAAATATGTATTCTGTGATTTATATTCTCTGAGAAATATTGTTTAATTCCGTTAAATTAACATCTTAATTGCTGAATAAAAGTTTTCAATTATTACGTTTGGTGCAAATTCTGATTTTTTCTTTTTTTTTTTCAGAAAACAAATATTAGTATAAAATTTGTCGACGTAAGCAGATATGTAGTGAGAGTTGATTGTCTTGAGAAAAGCTCTTACGAATCGCTTTTTCGTACCACTTTTATTGTATACACAGGTACGGGCGTGGCGGCGAAAAGATAAAGTGAAGCGCGGATTTGGCCTTACAACTATGACGACGAAAGCATTTTCTTGTTGTGCGGCTTAACGTGCCGCGGCGAAACATTGCGAGGCACGTATCTCTTTCTCTCCGGGAATCCCGGGACTTTGATTTGAGCCGTGTGAAGCACTCTCACGACCTTAATTGATTCTAGCTGACGTACGCGCTACTGCCTCGAGGAGACACTCACACAGAAACTCAGCAGTAACGTGTGATACATATTTAAAGAGAAAAAAAGGGTCACGCCATTTTTATAGCGCAGCTATACAAGTCTCACATACAACCTCTGTGTCTGACGAGCGCGAAAAGTGTCGTGACCACGTTTTTGCGGTGCCTGGCATACATCAGGGTTCCTTCTTCCTTAAAAAAAATCCGGAATCTTTCCTCGGTGTTACGCAGTAGCGTCGTCATAATTAAATTTAGCTGACGGAGGGACATATAGGACGACGGGGTCTTAATAAGTTACAGAGTATTAGCGTATCCGAGACTTATTTTTCACGCGGCACTCCTAAAACATTCGCAGTGTTTTCGTCGTAAAGAACAGCTCCGGAAAAAGCTGCGCTGTGAAGAAAGTTAAGAAGGACTTAATGCAGTTTTCGCCATGCTGAATGAGACTCGACACGCGTCCCATTTTTCTCGCGCGCGTTAATTCGTGACGATACAGGGGGAAAAAACGAATGTCGTCGCATTGCGATTTTGCACTGTTTCCATTTCGCGTTAATTACAACGCCGGATTTCATGATAATCGGTCGCTCGAGAACGAATTACTTTAATGAAACTACACAACGCGCGCGCGCGCACGCACGGCTATGTAGATGTAAAATATGCTCAAATAATTCCCACCAATTATTATCATAATTGGATTATGAATATGCATGAGTCGGCAACGCGTTAACCTTTGTCCGCTCGTTTCGTCCCGATATGACGTTTACGCGAAAGCGCAACATATACATCCGTATTATACGGCTGGCGCCGCGTCGGTTTCGCTATTACCCGGGCATCTGTACACACATCTGCGGACAGAGCGAGATACAAATGTCGCTGGAAGAGGGCGGGTGAACCTCTATCCGCTTCCGTACTCCGCAGTCCGCTTGATTGATCCGCCGATAATGAGCGTGGTATACGTACGATGCAACGGAAAACGCAAATCACATAAATCGCGGATAGAAATATGAGCGGACTCGAGATTTTGCAGTGCCCGGTCCGTAATGCGGTGACGCACGAAGCGCGCGTATACCAACGCACTTTTCCAATTTTCATGATTTATCCCGCCCACGGCGATCATAAGCGATGTAACCGTATCGCTCGCTTGCGCGCCAGCGATCCGATCGAGAAACAATGTATCCGGCGAAAATACGGATGGTATAATTTCGCAATTCATGTAATACGGCGTATGAAAAGCGTCCTTATGATTTTCATGATTTTCATATACACGCTGGTCGTAATCAGTTTTGTGATTACATCGGCGAACTCGCGATCAAAAAACGATACGCGCTGTGAATCTCATTATATCGACCGTATAATAATACGATGATTTATTTATCGTATGTCAACAGTGCATCGCGTTTCAGAAATAATGAATACGATAAGATGATATGTATATACGGCACGTGTTGTCTCGCCGATTACAATACGAGCGACGACGTGTATTAGAATATTTCTTTCGCACAAGATGGAAATAATATAGAAATTCGATATCTTTTCTTTCCCTCCCTTTTATGATTTGGCAGAGATTTTTCCAATGAAATGTAAAATGTAAATCCGCAAAGTGATATTTATAGCATCATTTTCTGTAAAATGCATACTATGAATCTTGCTTTAGCCTAAGGCGCAAATACGCTCGCTGTTATAAACAGCTATTTCTGCTCACAGTAGAAATAACACGCGGTATAAATACTGCCGGTATAAATAGCATCGGTGAAAATACCTCGCCATAAATTTGTATTGCATATAGCACGATATCTTGAAGCGACGACCGCTGTTTGGTGACACGAGTGGCACGATTTAACTATTTTTTTTTTTTAATTTTCCGACGTTTGCCACAAGTTTGCAAAAGAAACAGTCGTGGGCGATAACTTTCAGCTGTCATTTCGCAAAACACAGTTCCGATCGACGAATTTCGCGGGAATTCCCCTGTGGAAACTGCCACGCCGGCTCAACCTGTCCGTGGATCGAAAACAAAATCTCGCCGTGCAATATAAATATGGGTCGTCAACCCCGGGCGAAACGGAGACGACACCCCGGCTGCGCGTCGACGCGGATTATTTGGCCAGTCGCGCGACGCGACGTGCGGGCGCGCCATTGAAACGAGACGCGACGCTCCGAATCGACAAATTCTATTAATGCCCGCATTAATATCCGTAATTGAGCGAGTATTTCGCACCGGCTGGATTCCAGTTTCCACGGATTGTACATCCGAAACATACGGCAGGCGAAACGTTCGGAAAATCAATCAACGGTGTCGAGCGTGATGGAAAAAATTTTTGGAATTTACAAACCCTGGATTCGGATTGATCGCGCCGATGCACCGGGAACAATTTCGAGCAACGATATGAGAAAATAGATGAACTAACATAGGATTTCATCGCGCGACACAAGAAGCGTATTTCATTTCTCTTTTTGATTGCTTTTCATCTTAGATTAAGCAATTTTAAACTGATTGTCTCTCTTAGAGCAGATTGAAAAGAGAAAAAGAGAGAGAAGCAGATGATCACTTGTTAACAAAAAATCTGCAATTAATTTCGAGTAGACTTGACTTTAACACGAATTTTATTTAATTAAGTAGATTTAGTCATCAAAGCTCGCTAAACCCCATTTCGCCAGGGAATTTTTAATCGAGAAAAAGTACACGACTTCTTATTACTTTCTCGACCACTTTCTAACAGTTTTATAAGGGACGGTATAAGCTAGATACATGGAAAAACTGTTTTTCTCGCGTCGTTATAATGAAGGCTCTACTAAATACATGGGCCTTGTTTCTTTGAAGATTAGACGCGATGGCTGAGAAAACAAGCTCTTGACGGAGATTAATGACGGTGACCGTACATTGTGTCGCGCGAGTACTTGCTCCATCGCGATACACGCCACCCACATTGACACGTTCGACGATCAACGTCAAAACACTTCAAGTTTTTCACTTCGCCGTGCAACGCGAGAACAATTTCCGCGGCATTAATGCGGATAATAAATGGCGCGCCAGTCGTAAAAGATGAAGCGAACGAATCGAGGCGAGTAATATGGTTCGTAAGACCGGTGAATCCAAATGAAAATACGATGGAATAATGGCAAGCCTTATAAATGTGGCATAATTTAGGCGAACGCGAAGGCGCTCGAACTCGTCTGACACTTCATATTCGCGGGCATTCGGATTATCCGGATCATTTCCGCGTATCCGTGCTCGGTAATCGGATTTTCCGATTCGACACCTGCAGTTACGAAGGCAAAGGGTCAACTGCTCTCTTCACGTTACGTTTTCTATTCTGACAGAAATACCGATAGAATTAATAACCCGATTGTACAGCACATTTCAACGTAGTGATTGTAAAATTTATGACATTTCTAGTTATTGATACAATATTTAAAATTTTGAATTATTGTATTTTTAAGAATTTATTTCTACACAAAAATACGTTATATTCACGTTTCATACACAATTTTATTATATGATTTTAAATATTTTAAAAATATATTCCGATATTTTCAATTTTTTTTCTCATGTTTCTTAATATCGCATATAAAACAGCGGACGTTTAACATTTTTATTTCCTCTGATTTATCAAACGTTCGTGTGTGCGTGTAACTGACATGCTGGATATGCAATTACACGCATCCAAATTTAATATCGTTGCGCGATCGGCAAATTCTTGTCACCCGTGTTATCGCGTGGGAACCGATGCCACTCGAAGGTACTTAATTAATTAACCGTTATCAGAATTTTACTCGCCTCGTCGTAGCGCGGAACAGGCACAACGCCAGAGAGTTTCGAGAGAGTGATTCTACACGTTAATTAGTTACCATGCGGGTCCTTTGACAGTGATACTTTTTCTCACTTTGGAAACACGCGCGGAGGTATCACGATAATACAATATGCATAACTAACGATTTGACAATATTTAACAATACCTTTCATGCGGTGCAGCTCGCCTCCAGATAACTTCTGAAGGAGTCAACTTTCCTTGAATGCCTGCAAGCAGAAATAGCACGGAAAACTTTGATAAACTAGAATTGAAGTTTTGCTGTTGTTGAATTAAACTAAACCCACATTATAAAAGTACCAGATCATAAATATCTTGCTTTGCAAGTGCATCGTTTTTTGCATTTCAATTGTAACTGATTCAGCAATGGTTTGATGCAAACATACATTGAGAATGTTTGACTTTCAAAATTTCAAGAATCACTAAAAATTTTAAACGTGGGAAAAAAATATTATAGAAAAAACATGTATATTTTTAAAAAAATATTTTTTTTCGTACAATAATTTTTTTCTGTTAAATACACACGAAATGCACGATCTCTAGAAAGGTGAAGTGGAACAACCTGGTATGCTGTGTTATGCTGCAGTATTCGAATCGATCGTGCAAATAAACTCGTTGAGGAAACGACGAGGAAGACGAAACTTTGGACTCGGGCAAACTTTACGCTAATTACCTCCACGGTATTTTAACACTGATACTCTTCGACAAGCCGGAAGAGCGATGGGAACGCAAGCGCGAGCGCGCGGCGGTGGTGTATTACACGCTTGCTGAAATTCAATTTATCCTCTTTTCTGCGAACGAACCGAGAGATGCGTCAAGGTGCGCTTTTAAAGTAATCAGATGAAGACACTAACAGATAGTGCTCAGGGTACTGCGGGCACAAGCTAAACCCGCGTACCCACGTAAACGGATGCAGTCAGCGAGCACGTTCAATTACTCGATAAATAATTTTGTTTAATTTCGTTTTCCAAAGATAATTTAATTCTAAATATGTTCAGGTAGTCACTTCATATAATAAACATAAATAGTATAAAAGGTAAATTAGCTCTAATTACTAATGAAATGCCGTTTACACATTGTCCACTACTTTATTATGTTAAATTGCTGAATATACATACAAAGCAAACGTAATATATATTGTCGCGTTGCAACTTCGTTTTATTATGCTATAATTTATATTAATGGGAATACTTGCAGCAACAGCAGCGTTGTATCGCGATCATCGCAAGCATAAAACGCAGAGTAACGCCGAGACTAGTATAGATAATTCTTTATGATTGTTAAATGAATTTAAACAACCGCAAAACGCAATAAATATCTAATAAAAGAGCAGGTTGATTATTTTGCAGCGAAACGTAATTTTCGCAACGAGCTCTCGACGCCAGCGATGGTATAATATATCAGCTAACGAATGAGGGTTGTGAGAACGAGTTTCATGCGGAGCGAGTCACGAGTAAGCACGCGTGCAAATTTGATTACTGGTTTCATGGAGCGCGCGCGCGCGTCCTGGAAAGGGCGCGTTAACGCAGTAGTTTTCGGTCGAGTGCTGCAGGTGTTGAGTGAAATTTTCCAAGTCGAATCTCGTGAGTAGGAGATTTCGCTGTTTTTCTCGTATTCTTCGCGAAACAGAACAATCCTCCGTATTTCTTTCGTTCGTTCATTACGCGTTCGTTCGTAGATTAAAAAAGGCCACGTGCACAGTTATTCACGGTGAGTCTAAGCCTCGCGAAAGTGTGTATAATGAACGGCAGCAATGCGCGTTCAATGAGTATGCAAGCGTGCATCACATTGGTTTAAGCAACCATCGCAACAAAAGAGCGCGGCGTGATGTGCCGGCTTTGCGGACAAAGAGAGATCATGTATCCAACGCAGCGCAATAATCCGGTGGCGTACGAATTATTCTTTCGCTGATATATGCTTCTGGGTTCTCGCTATATTTGCATTGAACGAAGCTCTTGCGCTCTCCGTCTCTCCCTCACTCTGCCTCTCACTCTTCTAAAATGTAATCATGCGCGCGTGAATTCGCGAGCTTTCTTTCTGAGCGAGACAAGGGAGGTGCATTCGGCATAGTCTCGATCTGGAAATTTATATCGCACTTTCGAGGCGATCGATTTTTATTCATGCGCCGATGGGATCGCACGTAATTCATTCGTGGCATTATTTGCGTTATGGTGTCGCGGGTAACCGCAGATATTTCGGAAAGAGCGATTTCATATCATCGGAAAATATAGAAGAACCGCGGCCGACGCATTCGCGCACGTAAATTTCAGTTTAATTTAATTAAATCCCGTGCGCGCGCGTGAATCTCAACCAGATTTCTATATTCGATCTGTCGTAATTTCACGCTATTGGTTATTAAATTGTTTGCTTTTTTGTGCAATTAGCGTCAATTAGATTTATACAATTAGCGCGTCAATGTTTTAGGACAATCGTCGATATCCCCGCGAACGAGTTATTGATTTTTCATTGAACTTCGGCAGATGCGGTAAATTTAACCGTTATATTGTTTTTCTAAATATTGTGCAAGTTTTTCCAAATGGATATTTCCAATCTCCCCGCGAATAAATGAACACTGCGAATCGCTATACTGCTGTACAAATTTGTAGCACCGAAACGCTCAACGTTGTCAGCATTGAAAGATAGTTTGTTGCAGTTCTATCTTTCGCAAATATTACGGACAGCAATCGTTTAATGTACACTAATATGTACACGTGTACAACGTGCCAGTTGTATACCAGATGAAGTTAGTGCGTGCTAGAGCGAGCGCCATGCTAAAACTCTGGACGCGACTGAACGCCAGCCCGCAGCTAGTCGTAAATTTTCGAGCGTGGTTGCAAAACGGCGCAAACAACGGTACGTATCGTCGCGGTTTCGAATCGCGCAACGAACGGCTCTGTTATGGAGAGATTCAGCAGTCATCTGATCCACAAAGGTGGAATTTCGATAACAACTATGTATAAATGTTCAAGGCCATGATATGGAACGCCATGCAGAAATAGATTAATCTATTCAAAAGTAATGCTTTTGAGTTTACGTTAAACTTACGTTAAAAATGCAACATTTTACATGTCTAATGCAGTTACATGTATTATACAATCTACTTTTTAAAATTTGTTTGTTAATTCTTTGCATAATACTCTATGTAATGCTTTTATATAACAGTTATATGTATAATCCTATTTTTCAATTTATGAGTTAATTCTTTTTTGCATAATACCGTTCGTATGTAATACCTTTATATAGTAGTTTTATGTATAATCCACTTCTTTTTAATTCGTTAATACCTTTTTGCATAATATCGTCCATATGTAATACTTCTGCATAGCATATACTTCTTGAAAAGAAATTAGAAATAAAAGTGGCCTTATAATGTACCTTTTCTTGATTCGGATTACGTATAAATCGAATAAATTGATTGCGAGCACTCTCACGTAAAGAGTATCAAATCTGCAATGGAGCTCCGGCATCCTATCTCGCTTCATCGGCCAGCAAATAATAGTATCGTGACCAAACATGTTGTATTACGTATATGATTACAGCATGTAACGTAATACCGCAGCCATATTAATGACGGTGCGCACACGAGAGGTTTAGCGCACTTTCAGCGAGAAACACGTGTGAATATTGACGACTCTATTGATCACAGTGAACGAGCTCTATGGAAGCTTTGAAATTCGAATTTACCATGGCGCAATATCGGTCCGACCGAGCCGATATCGGCCAAGTGTAAGTCCGTATTTCATTTCAAATTTTTTTAGAAGCGAAAAATAGAGAGGAATAAAAATTGCAAATAGATATATAGATGTATTTAAAAAAAATTATTTTAATAACGAAGTAAAAATTATATATAAAACATTGCCGAGAGCTTGAAAGGAAAGCCAGATGGACACTATTGCAGCCGCTGCTGCAGAGGTAAAATATTTTCCTAATACCTCAGTTTTTTGACGTATATTTTATTTTAAATCGACTCTTTAGCCAATTGATCGCTAAAAAAGACAAACGCGCCCGCAAGTTTTAGATCTCTACATAAAATACGGAGAATCAAAATGGACATTTTATATCCCCAATAATTCTGGACATGTTCGCGATGATAAATGAGTGAAGTTAGTTCATCAAGCGTGCGCTTAAAAATGAACAGCGAAAATCCGCTTCATGGATTACAGCTTGCGTGCGGTTCGCTATTTAATGAACGAGCGAAAGAATGATTGCACAAATGCAAAAATTCGCACACGAAACAAAAGATTTAAACGAGTAGAATATATAGATAAAAAGAGAGAGGGAGAAGAGTGTAGCATCGCGCTCAGTGCACATAGTACAAAGCGAGATTATACGTGAGCGCGTTTACAACGGTTTTGTTTCGCGGAACGCGTATATCTGACGTGTGTTTGTCACGGGACAGAGGGTACGTCGGCATCTGCCGGTTGTGGAAAATTTCGGCAAGGTTTAACAATTATACTATACGCAAATACTCTTCTCTCCGGAGGGGGAGGGGGAAAGAGAGAGACATAGGGCGTGCATTCGCGGACACCGGGAAATCCATCGGTCGGTCGACCGGCCGGCTTTAGGTTGTCAATCAATCCTACGCATCCACTATTAAAGCCCGTACATCGATATTGCATTTGCCCGTCTTAGCCAGTTTCGCAATCTGTATTGTCGATCAACGTGTTAATCGTTACCTAACACCGGCGACCTGTGCTATAATCCTGATAAGAACTGATAGTCATTATCAAGATGGAGAGAAAGCGCAAATATTGCCATAAATTTAAAAAACCCAAATATATATAATTATTTCTATACAAATGTGTATAAAATAATTTTTAATTGTACACAAGAAATAATAATATAATTATTTTTTTATCGACATTCAGAAATAAATAACCATTGTTGTGCAAATGCTGTAACTAATTGAAATTTTTGACGCAATATTAATTATTTAATTTTTGACTTTAACAATAAGCATTTTTAACATGCAATTTTGCAATCATTTGCACAGCTGCTGCAAAATTTGTTGTATTTAAATTTAATAAACTTCTGGTTCACGGTTACATTATTTGTCTTTTCACCAGTTTTTTATTATAATATTTTGTTATGGCATCAATTGTAATTACGTATTAATTAATATAACATTTTCTACACTTTTTTACAAATAAAATATTCCGCTTGTATTTATTTTATGCAATTCAGATCCACCGTGTTTTTTTTTATTTAT